GGAGGGAGGGAGGGAGGGGGAGAGGGGGAGAGAGGCAGGCAGGCAGGCAGGCCGGCAGACAGGCAGGCAGGCAGGCAGGCAGGCAGGCAGGCAGGCAGGCAGACAGACAGACAGACAGACACAGAGAGAAGCAGTGACACTGACAGCGACCGAGACCGACAAAAACACACACTGAGAGACAGAGACACGGAGACAATGGCAGAGAGAGAGAGAGAGCGACGAGAGACGTGCACACACACACACACACCTTCTTGACCGCGTCCGCGTCTCCACTGTCAAGTTCGACGTCTGTCAGCTCCACTGACTGGAGGGAGACGTAGTTTCGTAGCCCGTCTGCGAAGAGCTTCAGTGCTGCGGACCTCAATCCCGTGAATTGCAGCCTGGCGCAGTTGCTCACCTCATCCAGAAGGGGGGCGTGCCGAGCGAGGGGGGAATGAGATGAAGGGCCGTAGAGTTATCAGAATCCAACTTGGGCACGAGCTTTCTGCTGATACACCTTCCGTTGCAGCATTATCACTTTGTCAAGATCCTCTTTGTTCGTAAATTTCAACCCCTTCTCGATCATCATCTGCTCGAAGAGTTCCGGAGGCGTTGGGGACTTGGCCCCTGTTTGCAATCCACGCACGGTGTCGATTCTCTGGTTTTGAGCAATGCGAGCCCTGGTGCTGGACCACTCCATCTCGCTTTGACACCAGCCTCTCTCCTCGTAGGGGACTTCGTTCTTGTTGAGCTGGCCCAGTGTTGCTTGACTCTTCTGTCCTTGCTCATCATAAACAATAATCTTCTTGCCTGAGCTCAGATGTTGCGTCCACCTTGTCATAGGGCTCAACGACTGCACCCGCAATGTGTAGGTACATTCGTGGGCGTAGAATGTGTGCATGTTGGCGAGAGCTTCACGGAAGTGTCTCTCCTGGCCGTCGTCGCGTGGATACTGGAAAAGGCAGACATAGTCATAGAACAGCCACACTGGCCTGCCGTAGGCTGCACAGTGCAGCGAGGTAAAGTCGGCTATCAGTTGCAACTGGTGGTTTGTGGGATCTGGATGTAGTTTCGTTTCCCAGCAGTGGCTCACAGCCATTATGAAGGCATCTTCCTCTGTGCACCAATGCTCCAGCTCGTCTCTCGAGACGAGGGCTGATGTCGTGCTGCCATCGCCGGTCGGAAATGTAGCATCTTCGGCTTCTTGCCGCCGTGGCAGTGTCTCCCCTTCCTGACACAAGGGCCGGAGGTTCTCCCTACCCCTGATGACGACACGCTCAACGGCCCAGGCCTTCAGGAGATGCCACAAGTACCTCGTGCAAGAAGCGCTTTCAACTTTGCGGGTTGAAGAGCTCAATGCGCCGGAGGCACTCTGCACGGACAAGCCGCGTGTTGGAAGTCAGAAGCACCTCCCTGAGGTGATTCGGGTCTCCGAGGTCCCCCAGCTTCAGCGCAGCATCCTAGTGCAGGCATGCACGACAAAAGGGGCGCACTTTTAAAGTACAGGGCCTAGCTTTCAGGGCTATGAACCAGTAGGTGAGCGGCGGCACACCCTCAACCAGAAGGTGAGCCGTGGCAAGCCCCAGCCCGTGGCGATGAGTGATAATTGTCAAGCGCTACTCACAACTCCTGCAAAGAGGTGAAGTGCAGTGAGTGGCAGCAGGTGGCGATGGATGAGTGTCCAGCGCTGGCAAATCTTAAATATTAAATACTTTAGTGAACAGCAGTTTGCAGTTATAGAGTCTGGAGAAACATCGCGTTTAACGTTTATGCGGCTTGCCACCACCCTGCTGGCTTATGTTCTGTGACGGGGGGCTTACCATCACTCGAGCACTTCAGGCTACAAGGGGTTTGTCCCCGCTCACTTCATTTCGGGCTCAGGCTGACGCTAATGAATTGGTTTATGCGCAGCGTATAAACCTGCGAAGAGAAAGCAAGAGGCTTGGCAGCCTGTGAAGGTTATACACAAACTCGCAGCAACGGCCAACATAGTTGTTGATGGGGCTCGGGCTTTCGTGACTTTCGTAGCCATCAGACAAGTAACCAAAGACCAAAGACCTCATGCTTAGTCCTGGAACTAGTCGCCCTTCAGGCTGCAGTGTGAGAAGTTCAAGTATTCCAGGATGGCTCGACCACCGAAAGCAAAAACCGGAGAGTGCACCGTCAAGTCATCTGAAGCAAGAGGTCCTGGGAGATTAACTCAAGAAGCCCAAGGAGCGAGCACACGAACACCAAGACCCCAGGAATTTAGAGTGGCTCACCAAGAACACACGTGTGCGCATGGAGTACTCTATGGCTTCTTGGGAGTTTTTGCCGGCAAGTGCTAGCGTCCAACGCCTCCTGTGGAATGTGTGAGGGAAGCAAAACGAGTGGTTCCGCAAATGGCTCAGATCATCTGCACAAGGATGGCTTGTTTGACGAGCAGCCAGTCCTGGCTGCCCCTCAACGCGGATCGTGTTGAGCAGAAATCTTACGCCGGAGCTTATTTGGGAGGCCTGTAGGCTCTGTGCTTTAGGCATTCTATGGCATTTTCATGGGGCAGGGAGAGGGTTTTGCATCCTGCAAAGGACTATTGAAGCCCAGCGCCGGGATTACTCAAGGACGAGGCCGAAAGAGAAGCAGGCACGAGGCAACTGTTTGAATACAGTGTGCTGGACGAACTCGCCAACTCGTTGAACGTCGGAGCGACGGTTCGTAGCCAGAGATGCTGGGTGCGAATCGATGGCCGGTATCCGACCTCAACATCAAGTTCTGCCAACTGACATTATCAAGCTACCTCAACCGGCCCACGTCGACGTAAGGCTGGCTGGCCCGACCACCAACATGTAGCGGGACCCTCTCGAAAAGGAGCTGGGACGACTGCCTTTGAATCGATAGTTTGGTCCAGATCACGCACGGGATTAGAGTCCATTGCAACGGACAAATGCGATCGCATAAGTCCGACAACGCGGGTCTGCTCCAGCTGGGACTGCAACGTGTGCATAGTGAGATCTGAAAGTTTGGCAAGAGATTCCTTCCTCGACTAGCAGATTCCATGACCCGTGCCCGGCCTCTGAGGCCTGCTCTTTCTTCTCAAGCACACTTCCTGCGGCCTGCAGCGAAGAGCAAACATCTGATTTTCAGGATTGCAACAAACGAGAATTCCACTGACATACGTAACTTTGCTGCAAAAACTCCGTGGGGCTTAAACCCCGACAGCCATAGGACCCAAAATCATGAAATCATGAAAACCCCAAGCAGCCTTCAGATATCTTGCTATACTTTGACAGCATGGCAGAATGATACCTGCCCCACTTTAAAACTTCACTGGCAAGTAACGTTGTCCACGCTCTCCATCATAGTGCAGTGTAAGGGCCCATCTCCCACAACAGAAAAAGAGACATGATTTTTCTAGGCCGAGCATTCGACATTAGCCAAGATCTCAAACTCAGAACTACTCAAGACATATCAATGCACTTAGACAGTGCTAGGTCCCAAGCTGACTAACTTACATGCATATCAGTCAACTCACTTCCACATGGGCCAAAAAGGACTCCAGCGGACTCCAGCATGCAGGAATATGAAATCTTCCATCTCATTATGCAGCCGTCCCTGTCAAAACGTAATCAAGTAGACCATGAATTGAGCAGCGGACACAGTCATGAAGATGGCATCAATTAATGCAGTTCGCAGCAAACCACGCATTTGCAGCAAAAGGCACACATCAGCGGTTTCTCGACTGTTTGACCCGTTGACATGCAGCATCGAACTTGCAAGCATTGTATGTTTTGCTGCTACTGTTGCCGGCCCTGATGCTCCCAAGCTGCCTGGGTCTTGTGAGTCGCCAGAATTTTACGCCATGCAATTCCAAATTCGCATGTGCTGAGTTCTCTACAAAGACTAACTTGAAAGACTGTGCGCGGACACTTCTTTTGTCGCTGAGGTTGCCGAAAGTAAGATGCTATGCGAGGCAAGGCTTTGCTTGCTTCAGAAGAGAGAACAGAAGGCAAGCGATGCCATGCCGTGCTCTCCCAGGGCGTGGAGGGTGGGCGAAAAAACTTTAAGACTGCGAGTCTGCAAGCGATGCTAAGTGTGTTTTCTGCTAACCTTGATACGATGCGGCGCGGTGCAGCAGTTTCAAGGTTAAGCTTAGATAGAAAGCACAGTTGATAACCTGGAGAAGACAAGAAGTCACAACGAGCGTTCTCTACAAAGCCTAACTTGAAAGACTGTGCGCGGACACTGCTTTTCTCGCTGAGGTTGCAGAAAGTAGGATGCTATGCGAGGCAAGGCTTTGCTTGCCTAAGAAGAGAGAACAGAAGGCAAGCGATGCCATGCCGTGCTCCCTGGCAACCTCATGCAGAAAAGTCTTACCCCCCACCGCGGTGAGGTGGCCAGGCCTAGTGCTCAGCGAGGCGTCAAGTACCTGGCAGGTAGACAGATAGTGAAAGTCTCGAATGAGAGAAGTAAACTGAGCGGTTTGAATAGAGCGCTTTTTTGCCTTCAGCAGTCGTTTTGGCAAGTGGCCAGTCAGCGGAGCATGGAATGCTGTGCTTCTAACAAAGGTTGAGGCCAGGCGCGGCCCGTGTCATGTAGCGTGACGCAATGCGATGCGGACGCAAGCTCTGCAAGGCTGATGCACACTCTGTCGGCACTGCGGTGCGACAGGAAAGCGGTATTGGCACGGCTACCTGATAGATCCAACGCGGCTACATTTACAATTTAGGCCCCCCTAAGAATTTAGCCCCCCGGTTCCATCCTCTCGCTTCCCCTTCCCTTTGTGAAGAAGGCCATCCAGCCGATCTGTGATCCCACAGACACATCTTTGTACAATGATGTGTACATATATATATATATACATATATATATATACATATATATATACATACATATACATACATATATCCGGGGCCCTCCAGGCCTTATTCATGTGTGCACAAAAAAGCCTCACACACAAAGCACATGCACACACACACACACAGAGACACAGTTTCTCTTTCTTCCAACGGCAGGGATCTGTCTTCTCTTTCTGAGCCACATTCTCCAGATGCACATATCCACAATGGGCCATCCAGCCCTGAAATATGCACAATTGAATTTTGGGCGCTGTAGGTTCCCCCCTTCATGTCATGAATGGGGGAACAAACAGCGCCCAACATCCAGCCCTGAAATATGTACAATTGAATTTGGGCATCCCTCACCCTTGCAAGATGTCGGCTGTCCCACCACAGACATCTTGCTGGGGTGAGGGATGTCGTCCTTGCATTGCAAAAATTCAAGGAAGCAGAAAAGCACTGAGCCTGACCCAGCCTAGAGTGTGATATATACATCCGGATCCGGGGCCCTCCAGCCCTCTCTTCTCGCATTGAGCGCAGGACAGAACCGCAAATATATACATCCGGATCCGGGGCCCTCCAGCCCTCTCTCTGTGCAGGACAGAACCACAACAGCAATATCAACAAAACTTGCCGATGGTGCTGTTGTGGTTCTGTGTCCACATCGAGCAGCTCAGCAGCGTCAGGAGGTGAGAGGCAATGCCTCCACACCTCCTGTCGCTTCTGAGTTGCTCGATGTGGACAGATGTGGAGAGTGGCGGGCTGGTTTGCTTTGCACACCAGCTCAACACTCTCCACATCGCTGGTCCATGTTGTCTTCTGCATCTGTTCCTGTTCCTGCTCCTCGGGCTGGAAAAGATATATACATCCGGGGCCCTCCAGCCCTCTGTATAGTGCGCAGCACATTCGGCCAAGGGCGACTCCCCCGTGGCCAAATGTGCTGCCCACCCCTAGCCTAGCCGCCGGCTGTCACAGATCACTGCCTGCACTCGCATCAGCTGGGCCCCAGTACGTTGCACCATGTGGGAATGCCTGCACAGCTCTAACGCCAACACGTCATGTGTGGGCATTAGAGCTGCACAGGCATCCGTTCCTCGTCGTCCGTGCTGTTGCACCATGTGGGATGTAGAAGACAGCATCGAGCAGCGTCGACGTCGCTGGTCGATGTTGTCTGCTGCATCCGTTCCCCTTCCGAAGGGGGGGGCGGGAAGGGTGGGGGGCGGGGGCGGGGGGGCTGAAGGGAGGAAGCCCTTGAAGCCCTTGAATGAAAAATTCAAAGGACGATTGCAGGCTTGTCAGGAATGCGCTCAACAATCACAACAACAATGATATCAAGCAAGATCCTAATCAGCTTCAGAATGCAATTACTCTGTCTGGACTTTTCCACTCTGGGCATCGCTGTCAATGAGTCTTGAGCCCACAGCACTTGAGCCTTGAGCCAATGCAGGCATATGTATGCGCTGCAAGTGGACTTGACAATGACAGAGTAAATGACCTTGTCAGCTAACACGGTCCCTTGGTTGTGACAATTCTGTCATCAATCACAGCTTTGTAACCAATCATGAGAAAATCACAACAATACTATCAATGGTGTGAATCAAGATCAATCAAACAATCCAACTACCACTCACGAATCTAAGAATGAA